GCTCTTGTGGCACCGTGTCAAGTGACGGGGACGAGGCCGTGGCACTCTGGGGCGATGCACACCTTCGGACATTCGGGTAAAACCAAGTCATGCACGGGCGGGAGGAGTGCGTCCCCCTTCTGCTTGCTCGCCACGCAGCCCGCTATTCTCTCTGCTTATTTGTCTGCTTGTTTGCCCGCCCGCCTTTTTTGCCCTCCGTCCGCGCGCTTGATTATCAAACTTCCTTTCACGGAGGCACGTCGACTCATTTCCTCTCTTATTTTTTTGCGCTTTCCCTTTTTCTTTAAATCTACCTTCCCCCACCCCACCCCACCTATTCTCTTTTCTTTCTCTCTTCCGCTTTCACTCTTGCTCTTCCTCCTTCTCCTCTTCGGATTTTTTTTTGAGGGGGGGTTCTTCTTCCTCCTTCCTCGTCCCCTCCCCTATCCCCAACATCCCCAACTCTCTTTTCTGTCCCTACCCTACCCCTACCCCTATCCCCAACCCCTACCCCTTGCCCTTCACCCCTACCCCACCAGCTCGCCTACCTGCCTCTCTCCAGTGTGTTTGTCCAGCCTCTCACAATCTACTTGCTGTCAATGCACTCGCACACTTACGCACACGAAAAGATTATATGTATATATATGTGTGTGTATGCGTGTGTGCATGTGCGTGTGCATTGTGTGGTTGCGTACGTGTACGTGTGCTTGTGAATGTACGTGTATATGTGCTTGGGCATGTACGTGTACATGTGCTTGTGCATGTACGTGTACATGAGCTTGTGTATGTACGTGTACATGTGCTTGGGCATATGTATATGTATGTACGTGTGCATGTACATAAAATCCCAACTCTCTCCTTATGACGTCTCTCTCCTATTCAGAGACACCCCGCGCCCGCCAGCCGAACACCGCTGCCTGCTTCGCGAGACAGTTCGAGCTGATCGACGAACAGCTGCGCGACACCGGCCCGGCCCTCCGTCTAAGGTGTCCCAAGTGTCTCTGAATATGAGATTTTAAAGACAGAAGAGCGCGAGACGGATATCGACCCTTCCCTTCCAGCCCAAAAGGAGTCCCTGTCACCTCGCCTGAAATATCGTTCACTTAAATCAAATCTCATTTTTGGAAGCGACTCCTTGACACTTGATCCACATTCGGAAAGAGGAAATATTGAAGCATTTCCTCTGTACATAAAAAAATATATATATGTTTCGTAAGACATATCCTTTACTCGAGACATGGAGACATTAAATTATAACAAGAAAGATAATGACTTTAATATATGAAACAATAATAATAAGTCGATGGTAATAATACTGTTGAATATAATGGCAATGATAACAATAATGATAACAATAACAATCATAACAGCAACAACAACAATAATTATTGTCACTATCATACAGATGATGATAGTGGGGGTGGTGATGACGATGACGACGAAAATAACAGTATAAAAACATGAATACCACCAATAACAAAAATGAGAACAAGAACAAATAAATAAATAATCAAACAACACTATCCACTGCCTCGCTTCGCTTCATCATCACCATCATCACCATCATCCCATCATTCCCTCCTCCTCCTCCTCCTCCCTCTTCCTCTTCTTCCTCCCTCTTCTTCTTCATCAACATCTTCATCATCATCTTCTTCTTCCACCTTCATTCTAATAAGACTTTCCGGCTATTAACTCTCTCCCAAGGCCAAGAGGTAAGGACGAATTCCGCTCACTGCCACTTCAAAGTTAGCCCACCTCCCCCCTCCCCCTCCCCCCTCCCCCTCCCCCCTTACTCCTACCCCACCCTCACCCCTTACCCCCCCCCCTTAAAATACTGTCCTCCTTAACACAGTCGAAGTTACAGCGCCAGTCGAAGGAGGGGGGGGGGGAGGCGAACGGAGAGATTCCTAGTTGGAGCGAGAGGCTAGTAGATCTTGGCTAGGAGGGAGGGAGGGAGGGAGGGAAGGAGGGAAGGAGGGAAGGAGGGAAGGAGGGAGGGGTGGAGAGGAGCGTGGAGGAGGAGAGGGAAGAAAGGAGGAGGTAGTTTGAGAGTGAGGGAAAGAGGAAAGAAGGAGGAGGAGCAGGAGAGAGAAAGAGACAGAAAGAGAGAGAGAAAGAGCTAGAGAGAGAGACAGACACAGACAGACAGAAACAGTGACGGAGGCAGCCAGCTCGCCCAAGGAGTTCACTACAAATGAACTGTACCGGAATACAGTGCATCCGGGGGCAACTCACTGTATCCTGCAAATGGCTTTCATATGTAGACCATTCTAGACGTCTTCCCGTGAAAAGGCCAAAGACACAATATATTTCGCTCCATGAATTAGTTTTGGTAATGATCATCGTCGTCTTAAATATCACCGTGACTGTCATCATCAACGGCACTGTCACCCTCCCATTCCTCCTCTTCTGCCTCTTCTTCCTCCTCCTGCTCCTCCTCCTCCTCCTCCTCATCATCATCATCATCATCATCATCATCATCATCATCATCATCATCATCATCATCATCATCATCATCATCATCATCATCACCATCATCATCATCATCATCACCATCATCATCATCATCATCATCCCTGCCACCTTTCACCTCCTTTTCCTCCCAATCATCATCATCATTTCTGCCATTTCTGCCTCCTCTTCCTCCTATTACTTTTCATCATCACCTTCATCATCCCTGCCCTCTTCCTCCTTCTCCTCCTCCTCCTCCTTCTCCTCCTCCTCCTCCTCCTCGAACAACACTCTCCAAAAAACAGGAAACAAACAAACAAATAAAAAAAGAATGAAAGAAAGAAAGAAGCAAACACTAAATAAAAAGAATAAGCAAAAATGGATAATGATGGGACTGATGAAAATGAGGGAAAATATAAACAGAAAAAAGTCAGAAGATTAAAAAGATAAAAAAAGAAAATAAAAAAACAACATTAATCGAATCGAGAGAACCAACCGTAGACGATGAAGAAGAAGACGAAGAAGAAGAAGAAGAAAAAGAACAACAACAACAAGAATACAAAGAAGAAAAGGATGACGATAAATCTGAAAAAAAATAAAAACGAGCATGAAGAAAAAGAGGAAGAAAGAGAAAGGAGAAAAAGAGGAAGAAAAGGAGGAAGAAAGAGGGGGGAGGAAGCAAGCGGAGAAGAAGAGAGAAGGCGGAGGAGACGAGGGGAAGCAGGAAGTAGTTATTATTAAGTCGAGTGAATGGGAGGGTCACTTGGCACAGGAGCCCGACAACTACCGAGAGTGTGTATGTGTGCCTGCAGGTGTGTGAGGGGGGAGGGGGGTAAGGAGAGGGGGGAGGGGGGTAAGGGGAGGGGGAGAAGCGAGGAGGTGAGTGGAGGGGGAGCAATGAGGGAGTGAGGGGAGGGGGGACAGAGGGGGTGAGTGGAGGGAGAAGAGAGGGGGTGAGTGGAGGGGGAGAGAGGGAGTGAGGAGAGGGGGAGAGAGGGAGTGAGGGAAGAGGGAGAGAGGAGGTAAGGGAAGAAGAAAGAAAATGGCAGAGAGGGGGTGAGGGGAGGGAAAGAGAGGGGGATAAGGAAGGACAGACAGAGAGGAGGCAAGGGGAAAGGGGTAAGGAGAAGGGGATGAGGACGGACTGAGAGGGTAAGGGGAGACGCGTGACAAGAGGGAAGGGGAGAGGGAGAGAAGGGACAAGGGGAAAGGTGTGAGAGGGGGCAACGGGAGAGGAAGAAAGGGGGAGAGATAGGAGGGGAGAAAGACTGGGTCAGGAGAAGTGAGGGGAGAAGAGAAAGGCGAAGTGAGCTCTCCCCTCCTTGGCGACCACACGGTAGCAAGTACAGGAAGGTTGGACGACAAGGAGGAGGAAAAGGACGAGGAACTGGTTGGGAAATGAGAGAGAAGGCAAGGAGGGAGATGAGGACAAGGAGAAGTAAGAGGAAGGAAGAGAAGGAAGACTTGACATAACTTGGTACAAACATTTCTTCGTAAAAGCATATGTGGGGCCAAGATTGAGAGAGAGAGAGAGAGAGAGAGAGAGAGAGAGAGAGAGAGAGAGAGAGGAGAGGAGAGGAGAGGAGAGGAGAGGAGAGGAGAGGAGAGGAGAGGAGAGGAGAGGAGAGGAGAGGAGAGGAGAGGAGAGGAGGAGAGGAGAGGAGAGGAGAGGAGAGAGAGGGGAGAGAGAGGGGAGAGAGAGGGGAGAGACAGGGGAGAGAGGGGGAGGGACAGGGGAGAGAGAGGAGAGGTGAGGAAAGGAGAGAGAAAGGAGAGAGAAAGGAGGGAGAAAGGAAAGAGAGGAGAGAAGAGGAGAGAGAGGAGAGGAGAGAGAGGAGGGGAGAGAAAAAAAAGAAAGAAAAGAGAGAAAAGAGAGAGAAAAAAAGAAGAGAACGAAGAGAGAAACGAGAGAAACCCCGAGAGACAGAAACATGAAAAAAAACAGCCCAAAGAAAGAAAGAAAGAAAGCAAACCCAAAGAAACACAACACACACAAAATGACGCCATCGACGCCAACGGCCCCCGGCGAGCCTCCCACCGCCGCGACGAGAGGAACCGCACCTGCCCGGCTGTGGTTCCTGCCGACCCTTTGTGCCCGGCCGGGGGAGCGTGACCACGGCCGCACTCAGACACGCCTTGTTATGACGGAGATACTTCGAATTCCCTTCGTGTGACAGTGCCATGAAGGGGGTGAGAGAGGGGGGGGAGGGGGGGGGGAGGAGGCGAGCCAAGGCCACTCGTCAATGACGGGGAACAGGTGAGTCACTCGGAAATGACGGGAAACAGAAACGGCCGATACCATGAAGGCTCAGCCGGCATTTCTCGTATTACGGATGATGACGATACTAAAAATAATCTGTATGTTGCTGTTGATGAGGATATAAATAATAACTAATAATACTACTACTAATAATGACAATAATAATGATGGTGATGATAACAAAAATCATAATCATCATCATAACATGGAAAATGGAAAAACAGTAAATCCTGCAGCAGCCCAAGAGAGCGTCTGCTGGCGGCCCCCCGGCGCGCGGCCCCAGCGACACCCCAAAGCCCCCCGAACTGACCTGAGAGATCGAGGTCGGCGCGGGTGTGCCGCGGCGGCTGCCTGAGCAGCGCCACGGGCACGAGTCCCTCCTGGTCGTGGGCGTGGGACAGCCTGACGTACGCCCATTCCGTCGGGTCGCGGGCGTGCGGGAAGGAGGGCGGGGGGTCGAGCAGCTCCACCTGTTGGCCGCGGGTGACGGACGCGATCTCGCCCGGACCCGAGCCCGCCCAGTCCTCCAGCACCCACGTGACCTCGCCTGAGCCCTGCAACAAGGGGAAACAGAGGTTAGTGTGACCTTGCAGACGGCGGTTGTGATGCGAGTGATGGGCCTCTGTGTGTACAGAGCTCGTACTGCAATCAATCTATAATTGCGTGGACGTGAATAGATGCTGACTAACTATATGTATACATAAGTTGACAAATGCATTACATACAAAGCATACCCGCACACCTACCGACACAAACACACACACACACAGACACACAACACACACACACACACACACACACACACACACACACACACACACACACATATAGCAATCCCTTCGTGCACCCGCCCCCCCCCCACCTCCCTTTTTTCAAGGCCGCCCCTCCACCACCTCCAAGTTACAACTCCAACCTCGGACGATAGAAACAACCTCAAACTCCACGGCGGAGACATCATTCCTTCTTTAATATCCCCACTAAGGCCGGTCATAAATAAACAGTCATGATAAATAATAAAAGCAAAAAAAAAAAGAAAAGTTGCAGTCTCTCTTCCCCCACAACACGGTAACCTAACAACTTCTTTCACATCTTCAGAAAATCGATCGCTGGATGTCTCGCACACTGCTTCTGTTTTCTCTCTCTCTCTCTCTCTCTCTCTCTCTCTCTCTCTCTCTCTCTCTCTCTCTCTCTCTCTCTCTCTCTCTCTCTCTCTCTCTCTTCTCTCTTCTCTCTTTCTCTTCCTTTCTCTCTTTCTCCTCTTTCTCCTCTCTCTTTCTCTCTTTCTCTCTTTCTCTCTTTCTCTCTTTCTCTTTCTCTTTCTCTTTCTCTTTCTCTCTCTCTCTCTGTCATTCTCATTCTTATTCACACTCACACTCTCATTCTCACACTCTCTCTCTCTACATATATCTATCTATCCATCTAAATTTATCTATTTATCAATCTCTCTCTCTATCTCTGTCTAGCTCTTTATATAATTTTATTATCTAACTCCTATTTTTATATTTACCTATCTATCTCTATCTCTCTATGTCTATTTATCTTACTCTATCTCATTTTCTAAGTATCTCTCTCTCTATTTCATTCTTTCCAATATTTATTTCTATTTATCCCTCTATCTCCTCTCTCTCTCTCCTACTCTCTCCCTCTCTACATCTATAAACATGAACACGTTTCATCTTTGCCTCTCTCTTTTACTCTTATTCTTATTCTTACTCTTACTCTCACTACCTCTCCCTCCTCCCTCTTTCGCCGTCTTCTTTCCTATCTCCTTCCTTCCTTCCCCCCCCCCTCCTTCTCCTCCACACAAACCAACTATTACCGCCCGCAATGTAGAATATTAACCCCCTCCCTTTCCCCCCCCTCTCTTCCTCCTGCCCCCTCACCCCCTAATCCCCTCACACCCGTTTTCCCCCTTCCCCTCCTCTCCCCCCGTCCAACTTTTCCTCCTTCCCCCTCCTCCTCCTCCTCCTTCCCCTCTTCCTCTTCCCCCTCCTCCCTTCCCTTCCCCCTCACCCTCTCAGGAGCATATAGATCTCTTGCACAAAAGCTTTGGCATAACACCTTGCAATGGCGGTTGAAAGAAGATGCAGGGATTGGAGGAAGGAGGCGGAGAAGGAGGACGGGGATGGGGGGCGATGGGGAAGGAAAGGAAGGAAAAAGGAAAAGGGGGGGATGGAGAAGGAGAAGGAGAAGGAGGAGGAGGAGGAGGAGGAGGAGGAGGAGGAGGAGGAGGAGGAGGAGGAGGGGAGGGGAGGGAGGGGAGGGGGGGGACGAGGGGGAGAACGAGGTGGAGGAGAGGAGGGGGAGAACGAGGTGGAGGAGGAGGAGGAGGAGGAGGAGGAGGAGGAGGAGGAGGAGGAGGGAGGAGGAGGAGGAGGAGGAGGAGGAGGAGGAAGAGGAGGAAGAGGAGGAGGAGGAGGAGGAGGGGGAGGAGGACGAGGAGGACGAGGAGGAGGACGAGGACGAGCAGGATAATGAAAAGAAGGAAATGGAGGAAAAGTAGACGAGAAGGGTAAAAAGGGAAAGACGAAAGTGAAGGAAAAGGAGAGGAGAATGAAAAGAAGAAGAAAAGAAAGTGAAGAAGTGAAGGAAACCAAAGAAGAGAAAAACAAAAACAAATGCAAAACAGAAGACAAGGCAAGAGAACAGAAGAGGGCACACAAACGCGGGTCACGGAAGAAGCCAAGTATAGATGGGGCAAAAATCGAGCAGGTGGGCACGCGGGGAACAGAGCGGGAGAGGGCGCACGGGTTGCCATCGTCGGACGAAGAGGAGGAGGAGGACGGCGGAGAGGAAGAGGGCCGGAGGAGGAGGACAGCGGGGAAAGGAGGGGAGGGGGAAGGAGGAGGAGGAGGAGGAGGAGGAGGAGGAGGAGGAGGAGGAGGAGGAGGAGGAGGAGGAGGAGGAGGAGGAGGAGGAGAGGAGGAGAGGAGGAGAGGAGGAGAGGAGGAGAGGAGGAGGAGGAGAGGAGGAGAGGAGGAGAGGAGGAGAGGAGGAGAGGAGGAGAGGAGGAGAGGAGGAGAGGAGGAGGAGGAGAGGAGGAGAGGAGGAGAG